ACAACAATATATATATTTACGAACTAAGAATAACAATAATTACAAATTTTCAGAAAAAACTATAAAATAAAGTTATAATAATAAAACGTAACTCAAAAATATAATGAAAATTGATATAAAGATATCGAAATAGTATTGGGTTCCTTCAACATAATAAATGTGATACTTTTTAAAATTTTGAAAAAGATACCAAAAAATAATTTTGTTCTGTTGTAACTTGTAAGCAACTATAGTTGTTTTATAGGAAAAAATTCAATATTAACAATAAAAATAATAAAATAAAAAATAAAAAAAGCTAAATATATGATAAATAATCAACTTATTAAGAAATAAATAACAAAGTACATTCTTCTTTTCTCACATAAGGAAATAATCCCCAAAATTTATTTCATTCCCTTAGGAAAGTTGAAATTAACCACTTTGAATAATCACTTCTTACCTTTTGTTTAAAAGAAATTTAAAAGTACATATAATTTTATTTTTTAAAATATCTATATAATTACTCCTTTTTTATTTAAAAAAATAGAATCCTCAAAAATATGAGATTCCAAATCATGACTTTATGACCTAGTGCTTAAGACGATTAACGTAAAAATCAAATTTGGTGTTGAGATATTAGATATTTTCATCGTTAAATATAAATTTGTACATTTTTATACATAAAAGGTTGAAAATGTTAAATCATATTCTTTTATCACTTTTTTTTGGTCAATGTTACCAATCAATTTTGCCTGATAGATATCCTAGGAGTAGTACACTCTGGGACATAGGCTTAGATAAGATTAGATCTATTCAATTTACATACAACATAATAATTTTGTTTTTTCATTGACTAGAGACAGGAAAAATATAAAATTATAAAATAAAAGATTCTTGAATTAGCTAAGCCAAATGAATCAATGAATAAAGTAATGATCATGAATAGGAAACAACAACTTTAATTTATGCAACTTCATAACTAGGGTATGCAAAGAATAAAAATATATTTTATTCATATATTACCGTTATCTGATAAATCTTGATTCAGATAAAACATTTCAAAATAGCTTGAAGAATGAAAAATAAAAATAATAATAGTAACTATAACGAAATAGATCGTTATGGAAAATAATACACAATAATATAATAATTAAATCACATATGATACCAATAATTGATAGAAAAAAAAACAACTACAAGAAAGGGTTAATACATTGGATTAACATCATTCTATATTGGGAATAGGTTAATGTAAAGTGTAATATATGATTCAAATATATACTGTCAATCAACTTTAATGGGTAATATGAGTTAACACGTGTTATAGCTTAATAAAAAAGTTCATTAATGGTGTTAAATCAAGATAATTAGATTATTTTGAATAAATAAAAAAGGTGAGTAGTTATAGACTTGATTGTCAAAAAATATCAAATGGACCCAAAGAGTGAATTATACAAAACTTAAATGAAAAAAGAAAAGGTTAAACCGAAAGAAGTAACAAGTTTTCTTTAGATTAGGAGTATAAAGATCTCGAATTGGAATCCTAAAAATAGAAAAATTATTATTAGTAAGTATTCGGAATAGAGTCTTACTTGTTAATAGTACGAATTCAAATTAATCAAATTTTAATATAGATATTGAATATTAAATCTCAAATATGAGTCTTGACATAAAAAAAATATTATTAGTGAATGCTTATCCTTCTAATTAAATAAATTTCGATACAAATACTGAATATTCGAACACCAAATTAAAAAAAACCCAAATATTTATTTATATTTAGTAAATAAAAGGGAGAGTTCGGTAGGAAGGGTACTTGTAGGGTAAAGCTATTATATTGATTTGAGTCATCATCCTCTATTTTAGCTTACCCACTGATTTGTGATGTAATATCACTATCTAAAAATCACAACGTCCTATCAAAAGTTAGCTCATCGATACAATATTATCAAAGAAAGTGACATTGAAAATATTATTAATGAGTCAAATTCTAATAGATTTGATCGAAAAGTGGTGATTTTTGTTGCTATATATTCTAATAATATACTAAGTATATTTTGATTTTAAATTAGTTAAAGTTGATTTTGTATGCGTTAGTAAAAAAAGGGTGTGTAATTGATATATTTTAAAAGTAAATGAATCATATGAATTTACTTGCTCATGGTTCCTGTTTCACTTCACTTTTAGTTGCATATATGCAATTTTGAGATATCATTTGACAAAGACTTTAAATCGCATATACCTTTATAAAATTATAGTTTCAAACTATATAGTTAAATAGTACATAAGTTTTAAACGACGCGATTCAATCAATTTATTTATTTATATATATATATATAACTTAATTAACTATCTGTTACGTGTAATTATTTCAAATCTTTTGTCAATCATATTGATTGGCACAATATTAAGTCACTGATATTTAGCTAATTGTCTTTTTCTTAATTATCTTGGACAGTATTTTTATGTTCACTCAATGAGCAATTAGAATTGCAAATATTTAGTGATTCTCAATACATTAATAATAATAATTATTTAATTTATTTAAATAATAAGGAAATAAAGATTCCAAGAAATATAATGATGTTTAGTTCTATATGGCCCTCGAAAAACATCTTACATTAATTGAGGATGACTTAACCTAATTAATTAGCTGGTTGTACCCTATAGTTTAGACCAAAAAAATTTATCTCATTGATTTGATAAATATTGTCTAGCATTTTATTAGAGATGATGAGTTTTTATAACGATCTCACGTTAGTATGCAATAATAATTAAATTTACAATAAATTTATTTATTCATAAATAAAGTTGAATAAAAAATACTGAATTCATAAAAGTTCATAAACGACACTCTAAATTCCTCTTATTTAATAATCAAATATATATACTATTTACGATCATCATTTAAGTTATACATCTCACGATCGTATAATTTATAAGTTTATCGACTTTAAAATAAAGTAAAATATATGGTACCCAAAATTGCAATGGATAAATAGTTATAAATAGGTACAATTTCACAATCAGATGGCAGTGTGGTTTAATGACTAATTGCAATGGGGTTATAGGCTTAGTGGGTTCCAATTGTTGAGTTTTGTGTTTTTATGAGTTGTAATCTACTAATTAAGATGTTAGGTTTCATGTCTTTTTAGGTTGATATATATATATTTTTTATAAAAAAAACTTTTCACCTTAGTAAATTTTTCTCGTATTTATCATTGACTTGAATTCATTAAAAAGTTCAAATTATGATGTCAAAGATAATATTTGTTGAAATCTTATAGATCTTTTAATAAAACATAAAACAATATTTCACGTTAAAATATAGGATATGGATAAATTCAACAATCGAACAATGGATATGACAATGACTACAACGCGATAGGGTTACTGTATCGTTATAGTCATGAAAATACAAGTAAAACCACATAAAATGCATTTTTTATCTTTCAAATAGTTTGATCTTTAATATTTGTCATTTAAAAATTGACTTTATAAAATAGGACACAAGTTCTTTAAAAACTGAAGACATGCTCGTCCAGATACAAAAATTACTAACTTATACCCAATGACGGATCCAGGATTTTCAATAAAGGGGTTAAAAGTTCGTAGAAATAGACATACGGAATAGTCAAAGGGGGTTCAACATCTACTATATATACATGAATATTATTTTAACCACGTATAAATTGTATAATTTTACGTCGAAGGGTGTTCGAATGAACCCCCTGTACCAAGGTGGTTCCGCCCCTGCTTATAACGTATGAACTTTGAGTTTGTCTACATTCGTTTTATTCGCTAAAAGTTAAAGACCAACACAAGATAGAGATAAAAGCGCAAAATGACCCTCGAAAACACTAATGGTCCAGCTAAAGAAACGGACTAGCCCAACAATCTTCAAATGGGCTTTATTTGCAAATGTACAAGGCCCAAATAATCCTTCTTACATGGGGGCCCATATAAAGGCCCAGCCCGTACCCAAAAACCCATTAGGCCCATTTGAACTTTCAAGAACATTCTGCAAGTCCTTTTTTTTTGTTCCGACCACCTTGGAACTGCTGACAATTTTCTAAGAAAAAAAAATCCGTTTTTTTAAGCAAAAAAAGTTAAAATTTTGTGGTATATTTCTTCAATTTCATCAATCTTTTTGATCATGGGTTGTGTTAGTTTGTTCCTTAATTCAATATTTTATGTTTATTTTCACAATTTTTTTTCATGTTTTGCAGGACTTTGGTGAAATGATTCGAACTAAAACTTTAGTTCCTGAGATAAGCAAATTCAAAAACATATTTCCATCTGGAAGTAGAATTGGTAATTTCAAAACTTTGTATATGTTTTCTTTTTGAATAATCTTGGTATGTGTGCCAGTTTTCGTGCAACTCGATTGTTTTATCTCAAAAGGTTGGTAATAAAATAAAAATATATGCTTTGGAACTACATAACAAATGATATCTTCATTTTTTGTGTGTAGATGGTGGTAGTGGAGAAAATTGTAGTTTGTCAGCAAAAATGAAACAAAAAAAGTTTAACATGTGAACATTGAAATGAATATGAATTGTTGGAAGTTTTATTGATGTTGTGTAAAATAACATTATTAATGGAATGGTATAGGAGATTATTTCGTTTTGAAACAGGTAGAGTGTTGTATAAATGTCGTATGGAGATAGAATTGTTATTACAAATGTACAAGAAGATCATAGTTGATGAAGAAGTTGTTTGACTATGAATAACTGAATAATGACAAACTTTGATACAGTTGGAATAATGACCCCTAAGAAGCAAGCAAATGATGATGCCGGCGAAGCTCAAATCAAGGCGGAGAAGATTGAACCCCTCGTCGCTTTTAGCAGGCCACCTCCGGTCCCTCCTTTCCTTGGACCTCTAGTTGCTCTTTCATTGCTTGAATCATGGTCATCACGAGATAGCAACGATGATTGATAACTGATATGGTTAATGGCTTATGCCTTCTGCCTATAGATGTAAGAAAAGTTAAAAGGTTTTACTGTGCTTGTAATGAATGTGGAGTCTTGTCTTGTCTTGTCTTCTACCGTCTATATGTATGTACGAAAAGTGAAGTCTTGAATGTTGTCCAATGTCATGAGTGTCAAGCTGTGAACATGTTCTACTCTTGGAATTTCTTTATAATGAACAGTAATATCGTGTAGATAAGTGTCAGAAATGCAACTATGAAGCTCCATAACTTGTGGTAGCAGGAAAGAATTGGACGTATGCTCGTGTGGAGAGCTATATTGTAGATACTTGGTAACAGAAGGGGACTCATCAGAAACAACCCTGCGTATGAATATGTTTTTTCCTTGTTGAGATTATTTCCATTCTCTTGTTTGATGAAAATATAAAGAACATAAAGAAATCAACATACATTCAGCAGCCTCAGGGAAAGCATCACATACTGAAATGACCTTCTGGAACACTTCCTGCATTTTTCAAGACAAGAACACCGCATGCGTCAATTGAATAGAAACTGAACAAGAATCAAGAATTGCAGTTGTTGACTTGCCAATATCAAAAAAAAAAACAATGAACATCTTGGTACTGATATTTGTACCAAAGCGAAGCTTCCTGGTTTGATTGGCGATTCAAGGATTACTTGAGCTTTCCTGCATGAATTTCCATTTCCAGGGAATTTAATGCTAGTGATAACATAGTAATAGGATTAAAGCTAACATGGCTTTAGAAAACTTTGGAGTTTACTTTATGACTAGTTCTTGATCTCCTTCTCTTGATAACTCGTAGCAGCTGCAACCTCTAGTGAAAGGAACCTGTTTCTTGTTCCACTCTGCATTAACCAAAATATACTTTTGTCATGTTCCAATATTTACATTGTCATTGGATTCTAGAAACAATTTATTTGTCGTTACCTAAATGCCAGTTTACCACAGTTGTGAGATCAACTCCCTCATAAATGTTCTCTATGTAGAACTTTGTGTTCTTCCCCATGCATGTGGTTAGTTGCCCCAGAAATTTTAGAGCCTCCTGCATCAATTTACAAATAAGAGTTATAACCACTAGAGTATATTAAGGAATCCTTAGTGTTAGATAATCCTTAAGTACTTAGTGTAGACATATTATGGATCAAAACCAGAGTATTTATGAATATAGAGTTGATTGAAACTAGCGTGGGATTGAGCTCAGACAGTTGGACAAAAGAAAAGTACAATTCATATCTCTGTGAGAAAGAGAGAGGTAACCTTTCTCCCTTGGAATGGTTTAGTGTAGGAGAAATCATCAAAAAAACAATCTTTATCTATGAGCAGTGCTAGTTGGTTCATGTCCTTGCTGTTGATGCTAGAGTAGAACTTCTTGATTGTGTCGGATGGAGAACATGCATTCATACTCGTGCCATTCTCAGGATTTAACATTGAAAATGTGACCAAACAGTTATATTTGCTCTTGATGCCCCGTATTTTAAGTCTTCGTTGTGATACTTTCGTAACTGATTCATGGTTAGCTTTCAATGGAGGGATGCTCAGGGTATGCGTAAACTCCGCTTTAGACCATACACTATGCTGGAGAAGTTGGCCAGAAAATGCCATTTTAGTGTATATAGCAGCACTATAGAAACTATGTGTTATCTATTTATGGACCCATGATAGGAAAAGGCATAAAAACTTTGGTTCTAAGCTTTGGCATTGGGAAAAGGACCTATTCTTTTCCTGAAATTGTTGCTTTTATGTCTCTGCCTTCCTCTGTACTTAAGGTACCAACTAAGTATAAAGCCAAATTTAGTCATCTTCAGATGGCATGAGATTCTCTACTTTCTTGGTTTTCATTTTCTGATTATTTTCTTATCCTATTCTTTCTTTCCTTTTTGGTTGGGTGGGTGTGGGGGTGGGTGGTGGGGCTTAGCATTCTTGTCATTTGCGACTTCCATTTAAAGTTTTTTTTTTGTAGTTCATGTTTTTTTGTCAAAGTGTAGATGAGAAAGTAACTAAAAAAATTGAATGCATGGGTGGGGCTTCGTGGTCAATGAAGTCAGGGGGGACCATGAGCTCTCAGGTTCAAATTCCTATGGAGACAAAAAAGGCATTAGGCAAACTTTCTCCATATGTCCAATCCTTTATGGGAAGAGTTACCCGAAACCTATGATGTTGCTCGGTAGTAGGTACTGGTGGAATTAGTCGAGGTGTGTGCAAGCAGCTCAAACATTAATAAAAGTGATGTTGGAAGAGTATGGGTTATGCTCCTCTAGTGGAATTAGAGAAGGCTGTAGATACCCATGCTAATACTGATATTTATAATAGAAGTGGAAATATGATCACAGTAGATTGATACAGACCTTGCTTTCTAGGTGTTCTGGACACTCAAAAATTATCATTACATTGGGAGAAAACAATGTCTAGATACAAGAAATCAAGGAAGATGACACTACAAAACTCTCCAAGAACCCTGAGGTTACTCGACTCTGACTTGTAAATCTCTTGCAAGATGGGGAGGGATTAGGGAAAGATGTTACAAGAGATTAGCAAAACTGACACTAACTAATCAATCTCCCATCATTGTTATCTCGTGCATAAAGGATTTTTCACGCTTTCCATCCATCAACATATTTTTTAGATGATAACCCACTCTTAGCTCCTCAAGCAAGGATGTGGGGAGGAATTTGAACGTCGAGTGTGATCATGGCTGCCAACGACTGCTACGCCATGGCAGCTATCCTTGTCATAACTTTCCCTCTCTTAGCAAGTGATCTATGCCTTTTAATCTTCTTGTCAAGTAACATAGGAGTGGCTGCTGCATCATGTATTCTAGGGCCATTTTGCTGGAGGCTTTGTTTAACAACTAAACAAGATGATTATTAGTGTTTTGACAATGCAATTGCATGAATTGTGACTATTTATATCAACCACTAACGTTGCTTGCTCACTTAAGAAACAGTCCCCCTTCTGTTGTAGCTACGACAGCTTTCAATGACAAAAGGGCAAGTTATTAGCAACCTCTTGTATTAGGTTCATCACTAGGTAAGTCAGTGAGGAGGGTATGACAGTTAATTTTTTCTTGACCAGAAATTTTCCGTATATTCATTTTAATGTTTATTTTCAAATCATTAGTTGACTATGAAGTTGAATAAATCCATGCAATTCATATGTCAACCAATGACCAATTAGTTGAGCATACGAGATTTGGCAACTAATCATTCACAATATGTGCTTGTTTGGCTTTATGTGTTTTCTTTTTCTACTACCCACGTAGGCATGATGACTCTATCCTATAAAGAAAACAATGCAGAAGTTTTAATTATACACTTTGTCTGGTTTTCCATTATCCCAAGTTGCCTTTCCTGAGAAAGAACTGCCACTTGGATTCATTTTAAGTCTTGAATTCTTATCTATGGTTTGTCTATTTTATTTTTAATGATTGTTAATGTACTGTAATCCTCCTATTCATGCTTATTTGGACAGATCATGTTCTCTAAAGCTCACATAGACGGGATGCGCGAACAATTTTTTTTACTTGTAGGTTTGGACATGTCATGCATCGATCTACGGATGCACCTGTTCATAGGTTTGGTACTGAGAATCACTAACACAACCATTAAAGACAAGTCTTTCCATAAAGAATTGCTTACCACTTGAATTTTTAGATCGAAATTCAACACAGTTCATTCAACAGTCAACAATAGAGATATTGGTAGTGATTCCAATTTCTCTCGAACCCAACACTCAATCATACAGTTGTTTTCGAGTAGATTTCAACAGGTATCTCCAAGTGTCACTACTTTTAGTAGCACTAGTCTTATTACAAATATGGCCAAACAGGCCTTAGGCTTAATTACAAAGCTAGTCATTCTTTGGAGTTTGATCCTGATCTTTTGAATCTCTCCAAGGACTTAAGGTTGACATGTAATTGAGCCATGATGTGTAGCGGGAATAGGAATTTATCAGTTGAGGACCCAACAGGAACAACCCTGCATAGGAAATCGTTTGCCCTGTTGAGAATAGTTTTGTTCTCTTGTTGGCGAAAATATAAAGAACATAAAGAAATCAACATACATTCAGCAGACTGAGGAGAAGCATCACACACTGAAATGACCTTCTGGAATGCTTCCTGCATTATGTGAAGACCGGAACATTGTAAGCATTTATGAAATAGAAACTGAACAAGAATCAAGAATTGCTGTTGCTAATTGCCAATATCAGGAAAAAAGAGTGAATATCATGTTGGTGAATTAGCTTGTCTAGTTTGTGTTTTTCTGAGATAGAACTTTGGTGGTATTCATACCACTAGATAACATATTGTTGATAATTAGCTTGTCTAGTTTGCGCTTTTCTGAAATAGAAGATTGATGATATTCATACCAAAGCTATGCTTCCTGGTTTGATTGGTGATTCAACAATTACTTGAGCTTTCCTGCATCAATTTCCATAACCAGAGCACTTAATGTTTGTGCTGACATAGTAATAGGCCTAAACGTTACATGCACGGGCTTAGAAAACTTTGAATTTACCTTATGACTAGTTCTTCTCCGTCTCTTGATAACTCGTAGCAACTGCAGCCTCTAGAGAAAGGAACCTGTTTCTTGTTCCACTCTACATGAAAATGTACTTATGTCATGTTCCAAATGTTCACATCTTCATCATTAGAAATAAGTTACTCGTCATTACCTAAATGCCAGTTTACCACAGTTGTGAGATCAACTCCCTCATAAATGTGTTCAATGCAGTACTCTGTGTTCTTCCCCATGCATGTGGCTAGTTGCTTCAGAAATTTAAGGACCTCCTGCATCAATTTACAAATAGAAGATATAAACACTAGAATTATATTAGAGAATCCTTAGTATAAGATAATCCTTAAATTGATCTCAACGAGAGGCGTAGTGGTTGTTATTGAGCTCAAAAAGTTGTACAAAAGAAAAGACAATTCATGTTTCCGAGAGAAAAAGAGCGGTAACCTCTCTCCTTAGGAATGGTTGACTGTAGGAGAAATCATCATAGTAACATTTTTCAGCTAGGAGCAGTGCTAGTTGATTCATGTCCTTGTTGTTGATACTTGAGTAGAACTTCCTGATTGTGTCGGATGGAGAAACTTCACTCATACTCGTGCCATTCTCAGGATCTGACATCGAAAATGTGACCAAACTGTTGGATTTGTTCTTGATGCGTCGTATTTTAAGGTTTCGTTGTGATAGCTTCTTAACAGGTTCATGGTTAGCTTTCAATAACGGAGGGACACTCGAGGTACGCGTAAACTTTGAGTTGGACCATACATTATGCTGGAAAATTTGGCTTGATAATGCCATTTTAGTTGATAATATCAACACTATTGTAACTATACATCATCTATTTATGGACCTATAATTGATAAAAAAAAAAGCATAAAAACTTTGGTTTAATGCCTTGACATTAAGGAAAGGACCTGTTCCTTGCCTTTTTTTTATTTTTTTTGGTTTGATGTCTCTTGTACTTAAGGTATCCAATTGGTATAAAGCCAAATTTAGCAAATCTTCAAGATGGTTTTATGACAATGTGTAACATGTGATTTTTCTACTTTCTAGTTTTTGTTTTTGTGTTTTAGACACTGGAAATTTGTTACAAGACAGTGAACAGAAGATGTCTAAATACAATAAACCAACGAAAACGACACTATACAAAACTCTCCTATAAACCTTTGAGGTCACTCGACTCTGACTTTTCAATCTCTCCTGTCGTTACATGCTTCGTATTTCTTAGGATTTTGTGGTTGAATTTGAACGTCGAGTGGCAGCCATGGTGATCATGGCTGCCAACGACTGCAACGCGATGGCAACTATTCTTGTCTTAACTTGCCCTCTCTTTGGAAGTGGTCTGTGCTCTTTTATCTTCTTGTCAAATAACATATGCTTCATCTTGCTTAAACCTTTGTTTAACAACAAAACAAGATGATTATTAGTGTTTTGACAATTCAATTGCATGATTTATGACTATATATAAAGCTTAATTATTGCTTGTTGATTCAAGAAACACAGCCCCTTTCTTTGTAGCTACTATAATAAGGTTGTTTCGATGACAAAAAGACAAGTTATGAGTAGCCTCTTGTAGTAGGTTCATCACTAGGGAGGCAATGACAGCTAATTTTTTCTTGACCAAAAATTATTCCCTATGTGGATTTTAGTGTTTATTTATCATTAGTTGACTATATACGCACCAACAACATATTCCGTGTAATTTCACTATGTATCGATCATTTTTGATAAAGACTCGCAACTAAAGTAAAGCATTTCAAAGCATGTATGAAAAGGGGTATACAGTAGTGAAGAAAAGAATAGTACAACGACAGAGTCTAATACTATGATAATTGAAGCAAAGGAAATAATAATTAATAATAAAATCGAAGGCTAATTAGTTGACTATGTATGAAGTTAAATAAATCCTTGCAATTTACATTTGTCAACTAATTAGTTAATTTAAGTATACAAAATATTGCAACTAATCATTATTTAAATACACAATTAGAGTAGATTGTTAGGTCAAGATTAGGATTGATACATCATGGCTTGTTTTTTAGGTTTTGTGTGTTTTCTTTTACTACAAACCACATAGGCATGATGATTCTATCCTATTAAGAAAACAATAGTTCAAAAGTTGTAATGTATACTCTTCGTTTAGTTTTACGTTCATTAAAATAAGCTTTTTTCGAAGTGTGCTATTTTTATCTTGAAAAAGAATCGTCACTTGATAAGTATTAGATAATTTTGTCTACTAAAGCGTAATTATAGTAGTTTTTTGAAGTTGTAGG